CTGGATAAGATGGCACACATGATAACAACTGTTGGGGGTCGAATTCAAGAGCATGTGAACACCATGATTGAGACACAGGACAATCGTATAACAGCCACTGAAGCAAGGATTGCTGAGATTCACAAGGAAATCCTTGAGACCATCCAAAAGGTTGCTTTTGAGGAAGTGGAGGAGAAGGAAGATCCACCTGAAAACCCTGCCCCATAAACCATCCGTTTGATTGCTATTTGAAAACTTTGAACAACTTTATTTTCTTTGGTTTGTAATATTTGATTTCTGGTATTCTGTTGCATATTTTTCACTTTCTATTTTATTATGGAACTTGGCTCATTAGGATTAATTCTTGATGATATGCATGATGTTACTTGCTTGGTATATAACTTGCCTTTACTTTGCTATATTTGAGCTTATTACCTCCTGCGTAGCGTAGTGGGAGTGTAGCAAACTGTTCTTTAGTTCTTTTGATAATGCCAAAAGGGGGAAAAGGACAAACTTCATGGAGGCTCAAAGTATTGCCAGGCTAAACAAGCATGAGGTATATTTTTGATTGTTTTGCTAAGAGTTCAAGTTCTCTATTTTTTAATTTCGTATGTTTAAGTCTTTTAGTTTATTTTTATAGTATTTTGTTTATGCTTGTTTTAATTTTCTGTTCTTAAAGTTTTCATTTGCATGCTTGGACGATATTTATTTACCTAAGTTTGTTAGTGTTTGTCATATCAAAAAAGGGGAATATTGTTGACCCTTATGGTTTTGATGAACAAACTGACAAACTCGACAAATGTGTATTTTAAGTCTATGGTAAATGAAAGGTTCATGCAACAAGGATCGTTTCAGAGTAGGAACACAGGAATGCGGAGTAGCGTTCACGCAAGTACAACGATCAAAATCACATTCTAGATTATTTGTAAGTACTTGGAATATAAGTTGGTTTATAAGTACTTGGAATATAAGTTGGTTTGGAATTCAGTGAGGCACGTTATTATTAAGGTTAAAAATAAATAATGTTCAATTGGAATTAGTTTTGAAGGAATATGATAAACACTGTTTTAAAAAGATTGTTTAATAGTAAAAAGGATATTTTATATTTTAATAAATAAATTAATCAAATTAATTTATTATCTTTTTAATTGTCTATCGTTTTAATGAATAAATTAATCTAATTTAGTTATTATCTTTTTAACAAAAATATCTACTTTAAATTATTGTCTTTAAATAAAGTAATTTATAAAATATCTCTTAAACAAACTATCTTTTTGAATAAGTCAAATAATCGTTTTTATCATACTCTTTCATCCGGTTTTTCACTCCTAAATATTAGGAGTTTGTTGAGATTATTGTGGATTGGTGAGCAAGCTTAGGAGACTTCCCATGATCACCACTTATCACGTTCACTCCACAACATGTTAGCATGTGTTAGTGGGAGTGATGGCATGTGTACGTGCTTATGGTGGGAAGTTAATGACTAAGCTTGCACTCTATAAATACTCATGCAATCGATCTCAGCAAAGCAGAATTCTTGAGCATAAATATTCCAGTGAGCAAAATATATACTAGCATGAAGAGTTCCAAATTACTTCTTATATTCTCTAGTACATTAGGTCTTGTATTACTTATTGTAATTGGGATCTTGGCGCATTTGTGAGAGTTGTAACTTGTGAGGTAAAGGAAGTTTCAGAGTCGAAACTTCTGAGAGAGTTGGGAATAAATTCCGTTTTTGTGGAACTTAGTCAGGATTTATTATTCACTTGTAAAAGAGTTTGATTTACATAGTGGAAATTCAGAAAAGCCCATATCATCTCTCTCTATTGTTTTACATCGTTTAATTTCCGCAAAATGTCTACTACTTTACCTATATTACAATTCACTCCCCCTCTTGTAGTTGCTATCTAAAACTTTATTGTGACAATCTAATATATGATGAGTAATTAAAATTTGGAGGTTCTATTCGAAGGAAAAAAAACGTAAAAGTGTATGGGTGTTGTTAAACGTCGTTCGTAAATTACGAGGTGACGCTTCCAAAACTTTCTTGAAATTCCATTTTTGCCCCTAATATATAAATACTCACGACAATCACTCATGACACGTATAACACATTTTACGTACTTCTCTCTAAAATTTTATCTCTCTAAAATTTGAAAATCTCTCAACAACTTTTAAAATTTAAAAAACTGATTTTTGTGAAAAAAAAAGCAATCTGAACAGAAATTTTTTAATAAAACAACCAACACCAATCCAACAACCAATCGAAGGAGGCAAGTAATGACGGAAATGCGGCGAATCAGGTTGACCTACGGCGGTCGTGGCGGCGAGCAGGTGCATGGAAAAAAAAAACTGGAAAAAGGGATATCCGCCTGAAATTTTCGAATGTCCCATGGAACATCCAGAAATTTCAGGCGGATGTAAAATTTCAGGCGGATGTCCCTTTTTCCAATTTTTTTTTTTTTTGTTTTTTTCCCTTTTTGTTTTTATTTTTCTTTTGTCTCGTTATTTTTATTATTTGTTTTTTTTTTCGTTTTCTTTTTGTTTTTCTTTTGTTAATATTATTTTCTCGTGATGTTTTTTTTGTTCGCGCATAATATTTTTTTTTTGTGATTAATATTTTTTAAATAACCGATTAAAATTACTATTATTAGTAATTTTACCTAAGGTTATTATTATTAGTGGCAATATTACTATTATTATAATTATTGTTGTTATTATTATTATCGTTGTTAGTAATATTGTTATTATTGTTGTTGTTATTGGTATTATTACCATTATTGTTGTTGTTTTGTAATGTTGTTAGTATTGTTGTTGAGTCCCTTAGGTTTTGAGTGATGACAAACAGTTACGGGAAACAGGTTACAATCAGTATTGCAAATAGTTGGTTGGAAACCAGCTGGAATTGAACACTGTTTCTCTAGACAAGTTATTACTTATTTGTGGTATTCATTTAACTAACTTGTCTATATGCAGGAAATGGTTGGATATAAATTGTTCCATGTACTGGTGGGAAACCAGTAGGAACTGTTTCCTCGATTGCTATGCTGAAAAGCAGTCATATACTCTTTATTGTATATTAACCATGTTACATGTGCAGTAGTTGAGTTGATTCCAAGACTTGGAGCATGGAGGCCTTTCGAAGAAATTCGAAGAAAAATACATTGCTTATAATGGACGTATTCAAGGAGGATTCAAGTCTTGAAGATTACATGAAGAAAAGAAGATTTGTACTTTAATGATTAATCTAGTTTTATCATGTAATGTGCTCCGTAGTATGATTTGCATGTTTGGGTAAAATAAGTGCTTATAAGTGTATTGAGGTATATTATGAATTCTGGTACAAGTGCGGAATGTAAATGGGATCAGGTTCCTCTTAGGAGAGGATGGATCATCCGGCTATAGCAAACAGCCTCAATATCCGAGTTTAAACTCTCAAGTGTGTTTAATTATGTAATTAATGCTCTCACTGAATGTTTGTGAATGTCGTTCCCTAAGGGGAACATCTCCCTTTTATAGGGTCTCGAAGTGCGTGCCCAGTCCTAGGTTATGGAAACCTAGGGTTGATTAGGCTTCTTTGGAGTTTGGGCCTTTGAAGGCTGCCATTCCAAGTTGGCAATCTGTCTTCCATGTGTCGTGTTTTGAATGGTCCAATTTGGACTTTTCACTTAGTGACACGTGACGGACTCTGGTTGGTCCACGTGGATGACAAGTGGAGGGTCTTGATTGGTCCACATGGCGGGGTAAAAATCCCCTAATCAAGCGCAATACATATTACAGAAATATACACTTATTATGAGAAAAATTCTATGAACGTTATTTGAATTTTATACTCATGAATTAATAATCACTTGACAATCATACTTATAAAATAAAAAATATAGTACTACTGCTCATAAATTGTTTTATTTTGGAGTACTCTTTAGCACGAACATTAAGATATAATTAAAAATACTAAAGTATTAAGATAATAATTATTGAAAGTTACAATTTTTTTTTAATAGGGTTATATTTAATTTGTACATGTAAAATATTGGTATTTTGTCGAAAATAAAACTCTAAACCAGCAATTTCATCCTAAAAATCTATCCTTTATTGAAAATAATACTCTAAACTAATTTTTTTTATCTAACAAAATCTATCTAAATCTATCTAACATTTTTATCCTACGTGTCATATGAATAAATAGTGATTGCTTACGTGGCACGACACTTGGCGAAATCCTTCGTCCCTATATTTTTGCTCCAATTGAGTACATCCTTCGTCCCTATATATATATATATATTTACAATTTTAATTACAATTTTACAATCAATTGAGTACATCCTTCGTCCCTATATTTTTGCTCCAATTAACTTTTCAGAATCTATATATATATATATATTTTTTATACGCATAAAAATAAAAATGTAGTAGATATTAATAATAAATATGTCATGAGACGAATCCAACAAAATCATTATTTCATAAAGAATAATGAGAATTGATGGTTAAAAATTTTAAACTTTAACACAAATATTAGTGCAATTATTATTATACAACCATTTGTACTTAGAGCTTGGTACAACCACACTCCCTTTATTTGTTCAATTAAAATGCGGTTTAAATTAAACAAACTACCGTTATTTTAACCAATAAATTAACCAAACATTTAATTTTGTACTCCGTGATGTATAGGTAGAAAATATGCAGGTTTAATATCTTTTGACTTAACAAAAAAAGGTTATTAAAAAAAATCCCAACAAAATAGTACAGCAGAAAAATGTACAGTAGAAAAACAAGTTGGTAAGTCAAAGTCAACATATTCACATGATAATATCCAAAAATCACTGAAGTATTCCGTGCATTTATTTGCTTTTTTAGCAAAACTTTTAAAATAGCTTTTTTAAATTCACACTCCCACCCCTAGTCATTAAACCATGACTCAAGAGTATTAGTGTAACGTCTACTATTATGGTTATTACTATAATTCATTAATAATTATTATAATATTTTTTATTTTTCTAAATGGAAAGAAATCAACAGTATCTATCCAAAAATAATTATAAATACCATCAACTCACACAATAAAGTTGTCCTAGAGTGGCAAAGAAACAAACTCTTTGCGCACAAATTCTGAAAATTATAGTCAAAAACATTAAAAAAATAAAAATAAAATAAATATTAGAGAGCAGAGAAATCATGGAGACAGTAGTGAAGAAGGAAAATGGTGGCAGTGACAACAGCCTTAACGATTGGCTTCCGGTTACGTCGAAGCGTGAGGCAAAATGGTGGTACGCTGCAATTCACAATGTGACTGGTATGGTTGGTGCTGGCATTCTCGGTTTACCATACGCTATGTCTCAACTTGGATGGTATGTACACTTTTATTACTATGCTAATGTTTATTTTTGATCTCTAAGAAAAAAATTAATTTGAGGGATTGTTATAATTTAATTCACATTTATTCCATGTTATTTAGTTATAAATGTACCGTATAGTAATTTATACTCATGATAATGAAACACGGATGATATTGATTTTAGGTGAATAATTGTACAATTAATTGCATGAAAAATGGTAAAATAATAGACAACTAATTTTTTTTGCCTGATAATCATCTTTTTTATTTTTTCATGTATTTGTTCTGATTATAAAATTGATTAACGAGTCAATGAAAACTTTGGGAAAAGATTTGATTAATATAGTAGTCCGAATTAATTTGGTTACGGAACAGAAGTTGAGAGTATTGAAGTGCATGATGAGGAAGTTATGTTCCTTTGCATTTATTTTGTTGTAAATTGTTAGCTCAATCAATCCGACAACTCGCCAGGCGATTTGATCTGAAGTTGTGGATCATCTGGTTGTTCCCGGTGGCGATCTGTAAGTTTAAATTTATGTATATGTAGATGTATGGTTGCATCGTCATTCATCAAGTAGATCTAGTTTCAATGTGTGCATTTAAAGTATTTTTGTATTTGTAATATTGTGTATCTTTAGTTAATTATGAAAATTTTACAGAAGTTATGAAAATTGAATATGTATTAGAGTTCTAAATATAATTAACGAGCACTTTTTTTATTCCTTTTGACTCTTAAATTTGGCGGAATTCTTGTGGTTTAATTTGAGTTGCATGAAAATAACTAAATAATAAAATAATATATCACCTTAATTATATAATAAGGTTATGTGTACATTTAATCTGCGGAATATATGACATATTAATTTATTTCAGGGGTCCGGGTGTAACAATATTATTATTGTCATGGCTTATAACACTATACACCTTATGGCAAATGATTGAAATGCATGAGATCGTGCCCGGTAAAAGGTTTGATCGATATCACGAGTTAGGACAGTACACATTTGGGGAAAAACTCGGGTTATGGCTCATTGTTCCCCAACAATTTATGGTTCAAGCTGGATGTGACATCGTTTATATGGTTACTGGAGGGAGTTCATTGATGAAGATATATAACATCGTTTGGCCAAACGGAAGGCCAATCAAACTTACGTATTTTATCATGATGTACGCGTCTGTTCAATTCTTCCTATCCAACTTACCAAACTTTAACTCCATTGTTGGCATCTCTTTAACTGCAGCTATTATGTCTCTTAGGTAAGTATTTATGCTTTATAAGAGAAAAAAAGCTTATAACAATTACAACAAATAGCATGGTATTTAATTAAGTTTTGTGGAGTTATGTTTGAATTCAACACACTACGATGGATTTACGTTGCTATTGAAATGTCCAAACACTCTAAAGTTTCAAGTTACAGTTTTTGCAATTGACTAAGTATTAATGATAAAATAGTAATGAACAGTCAAACCATTAACACTTTTGTATTTTCTTGGAGGCCGAACGAACAATTTCATTAAATTTATCTGTGCTTGGACAATGGTAATTTTAGTATATATGGTTATTAACTTGGGAAAGTCGTGATTTTCACTTCAGTTATTCAGCAATGGCATGGATAGCTTCGGCTATAAAAGGAACACAATCTGACACGAATTATGGGAGTAGGTATCCCACTAGTGCCGGACATATATTTGGTTTTTTGAGTGGATTAGGGACGGTGGCATTTACTTTTTCTGGGCACAACATAGTGTTGGAGATTCAAGCAACAATTCCTTCAACTCCGGATAAACCTTCTAAAATAGCCATGTGGAAAGGATCCCTACTCGCTTATATAATTATAGGGTTGTGTGATTTTCCTGTGGCATTTGTTGGTTATCTAGTGTTTGGAAGATTTGTTGATGATAATTTGATGATCTCCCTTGAGAAGCCTATTTGGCTTATCGCCATTGCCAATATATTTGTTGTCATACATGTTATTGGGAGCTATCAAGTAAGTTGAGTTCTTTATTTCAATTTTAATGTTTGACATTTTTTATTATTATTATTACTAATATTTTCCGATCCTCATACTGTTAGGTTTTCGCAATGCCAGTTTTTGACATGCTCGAATCATTTTTGGTGTTGAAATTGAAATACCAACCTAGTAGAATGCTTCGCCTTGTGACTCGTTCTACCTATGTCGGTGAGTTGTTTTATAAAAATTGTTTACCTTAAATTATTATAATTTAAAAATATTTTTAAAGTATATTAAAAATATATTGTTCCATACAGGAATTACTATGTTCATAGTTATAGCATTTCCCTTTTTTGGCTCTCTTCTAAGTGTGTTGGGAGGAATTGCTTTTGCACCAACTTCATTTTACGTAAGTGTCATACATATTTTTAATATTATAATAATGAAAATAAATGAATAAAATATCTTAATATTAGTTAAATTTAATTTGTATTGCAGCTTCCTTGCATAATATGGTTAATAATATGCAAACCAAAAAAATACAGCGCCTCATGGCTCTTAAATTGGGTAAGTTTTCAACTTTAAAATTCATTTACATCCAACAAATGTTTTTTCTCAATATGAAACTCATGAACGTATGTTTTTTTTTTTTTTTTTTTTCTTATTTATTATCTTTTTTTCTTATATTGCAGGCATTCATCATTGTTGGTGTGTCGTTGACGATTTTAGCTCCTATAGGGGCTATAAGAGATATAGTCGTTCAAAGTGGTAGCTACAAATTCTTCTCCTGATCAATCAACCGTTATTATGAGGAGTGATTGGGGTGATGATAGGATGATTATAGGTTTCAATCCTATCATTTTTTTAAGCGGATCACCTATGATTGCTATTATGACCTATATTATTATGAACTTTTGTTTAGATTATTGAGACTCTTTTGCACAGACAAACCTTATATATGTTTAATTAAACCATGAATTATGATGGGTGTTATAATAACTAGGGGTGAGCAAAAATTCCGGGTACCCGGAATTGGAACCGGAACTGGTTAGGAACCGGCAGGTTCGGAACCGAGATTGGACCCGGTGGTTCCAATTTCGGGTAATAAATTAAGGACCCGGTTATAACCAATTCCAATTCCAATTCTCAACTTTTTGGACCCGGAACCGGTTGGGTACCCGGTTACCCAATATATCCTAAATTAAATAAACTTTAAATAATAAAAATATGTTAAATGTATCTAATTTGTACAATAAAAAAAGTATTATTAATACCTAACATGAATACAAATAGCTTAATGCATATATAAATATAAGTATTAAACACTAATAATGATACTAACTAAAATAAGAATTATAATTTGTATTATATTTTAACAATTACATACATAAGTGGGTACCCGGAACCGGAACCGGTACCCATTGGTTCCAATTCCAATTCCTAAAATTTAGGACCCGGTTTAACCAATTCCAATTCCGGTTCCGAATTTTAGGACCCGGTTCTAACCAATTCCAAGTCCGGGTCCTAAAATTTTGACCGGGTACCTGGTTTGCTCACCCTAATAATAACTGCCTTTTAAAGTTTTAACGTTTTCCTATGATTAATGATTTTAGAGCTTATGTGGTTTAACAATAGTATCAAGCTTATAGGTTTTGGTGCTAAAGGCATTTTCTTAGACTGTTTAAATTATATATACCATGGTGCTAAAGGCATATTTTGCTTAATTGCAGGATGACTTATTTTTAATCGAATTATATATTTCCAAATTTGCCCTTGTTTTAACATCCTAACATTAGTATATACATCCTGATGTATTTTTCTGTAACATAGAGTAGTAAATTGTGCGAAACTTTATTTTCTGATCTATGCAGATTTTATGACTATATGTGTGTCGAAATCGTAACTAATGTAGCTAATTATGATGAATCTCTCCACAGTACAAAAAATAAATAAAATAAATAAAAAATATCGGTTTCCTAACTTGATTGTCAAATGTGTTTTTCAGACCAAAACGAACCTATCGGATTTAATTTCTGGGGCTTTATAACCTTACTACCGGTTGAGATATTCGAGAAATGATCTTTACTCCAATTTATAAAGCTCTATGCTTACTGGTGGTTGAAATTTTTCGGGCATTAACCTTACTATTTTGAAACTTCTGGTGTATGATAAGTTGATAACCTTACTATTCGCTGAAATTTCCAGCACCTTAACCTAAGCAATTGAAATTTTCAGGACTCTTACATATCTACGCGGTTAGAATGTACAAGACTTTTACATATTCACCACGTGAAATTTAGAGGAAGAAAAATTTCACTAGTAACCTTAGAACCATTGATGCGTATTGTGGATAGCAAATCTTACCTCTTTGGGAACAATCTATCATTAGTAGTTTTATTTTTTTAAAAAAATTGGTTTTAATAATCTTAACTTTGGCCAATTTTCCTAAGTCAAGTCAACACCTAAGTAATGATCATTTCTCAAAAATCTCAACCGATAGTAACGCTAGGCCTTTGATCTTGATTGACAGGGTTGACCTTACCCTCCAAATCTCAAGATTTACCAAAAACATTCTTTTGCACTTTGGTGTCATCTTTTACACCAATACTAACACTAACACAACAAAATTTTCCTTTTCTTCCCTAACTTTCTTTTATTTTCCTCCTCCCCAAATTCAAGAAAATCTCTAAACATCTCATCCTTAGTTGTTACCGTGAGTGCCTCATCAACAAAATTCTAGGACCACTCAAATATAGAAGGCACCTTCTTGAGGTTTTGTTGAAAAACTTTGTTATTGGTATCAATCTTAATTGCTTGTGAAAGATCCATGAAAGCTAAGTCGGGTTTGTTTATTAGTTCTAAAACTGCCATCGCTTTTCTAAGGTAAGCATTCACATTTGAAGTATCATAACACAACACTACCAAAAACAATTGACCCACCTTGTCAAAGTTTATATCTTTGACAAAACAACCCCCCAAGTTCAGATTAAGAGACACAGTAAGGCTCAAAAAAACTGTTTTATCCTCATCATTACAAACTAGAATAAAGGACATGATAAGTGGCTAAAACCATATTACACTATTTGTATAAGTGGTTTCCCTCATCGTTTAAACTCCTAATAAACTTCAAAATCCAACTCCCTAACTATTTGCTCTAACTTATGAGAAGAGATATCATCCTCTTCAACATGAGCGATACAGAAAACCCTCTAAGTTCCTCAAATAAAACCATATCACTTAAAACAAGAAAACAAAATGATGTCACATACAACTAGAAACTTAAAGAAAAGGTTTAAAAAAAGAGTAAACATGCTTCCCTATAATTGAACAAGACATACCAAAATAACCTATCCCGAAGGTAAACCACCAATAGTTGCTATACAGGGTTAACTATCAGCGCATAGCTACTATTTGTTAGCAAACAAATAGGATGGAAAAAAGTACCACTACATGCATAATAGGTGACAGGTGGATAGGTATTTTGGGGAAAATATTCTACGACAGAGGATGGCAAAAAGTACCACTACATATATAATAGTACACAAAAAGTACTATTAAGACAACCTATACCTTAATGGTACATTATACATGCATAATGGTACTTTATAATGTACCACTGTAGAAAAAAAATCAAATGAAATTTTTTTTTTAAAAACCCAGATTGCGCTCCTATATATGCATGCCTAAAAATAGCAGCTTTGCGCCTAGTTGCACTCGCTCTAAAACGCCTACACTTCCGGGAATAGCGGTGGTCGTACACTGACTCATTAACCCTTAGATCTTGCAATGGTCTTCAATTGTAAGACCAAAAATTCTCCCAATTCGAAATTGAAACCCTAACCCTAACTTTACTTCGAGAAAACTTAAGAGTTCGAGTTAGCTTGACCGTTTTCCGTGAATAACCAAATTCGAGACCGTCAAGAGAAGCTCACCAACGACCTTAGTTGAGCGGCAGTGCTTTGGTTACTGGCGGCAAGGCCGGATTTGATGAAAGTCTTTTTTTTTTTAAGAAAGGAGAGAGCGTATTTTACAGAGAGATAATTCCCACCTAGATCTAGATTTTTCTGTGACAGAAAAATAAGTAATATCATGATCAAATTCAACCAATTAAATCAACTTTAATTTATGTTTCACTTCAATTAAAGTTATCATGTAATTATGCTCATAATCAAGGGGTATGGTAGCTATCTGTTCAATACAAACAACATAAATTTCATCTAATCAAGTTAGTCATATTACAATCATTAATCAAAATTTCAAATTAAACTCTAATCACCATTATTTAATCATGCTTTACCCAATTCATACCTATATAACTCCCACTAATCATGATATTAGAAATTTACAACAATTCCTAGCTAGAAAAATCATAAAAATAAAATAAAATTTATCATTGATCATCATTGAATTAAACCAAAGAAATCAAATGGGAAATTAACTAATAAAATTCGACTGATAAAATCAAAATGAGAATTTGATACTCAAAAAAATTAATGTGCAAAACAAAATTTTAAGAGTAAAAAATGGAAAGAAGGTTACTAATAAGCATATTGTAAAATTGAAATATGAAGTTGAATCAAACTTTAATTGATGATGAATTTGATTTGAAAGGTTTCATTTAATTTTATAGTAGTGTTTTATTTTATTTTATTTTTTTTTAATTCAAATGAGGATACAATCCCAGAAGTGAAAAGAAAACTAAAGAAACAGTAAAGCATCTAAAATAAAAGGAAAGAAAAAAACAGAACAACTAATACGGAGGAAAAAGACGAGGTACAGCCACCCCTCTAATGTACTCTTCTAGGATACGGATAGGATCTAACGGCAAATTATTGATGATAACTAATTGAGTCTTGAAAATGTATCAATTTCCAGGGTGGAGTATGGCCTGACCAAGCCACTCCAATCATGAGAAGATAGCTCCTGGAAGACATCTTGTGGTACATCAAAAAAATTCGGCCCTCCTTCCTCTGTATAGAAATTGAAAATTTATTGGACAATGTGATTTTGTATTTCCAATTTATCCGCAAGCCATTCATCATTATCATTCTTTAGAGCAACAATTTTATTTTTCCATCTCCTAATAATGGTGCTACGATGAAAAAACGTTGTATTGTGATCACCATTTTTCAATCAATCAATTCGAGATTTTTGGTACCAAATTAATTCTTCTCTATCCAAGATCTTTTCAAGCTCCTTTCGAAGCCTTGCCTCCAACTTAATTAATCCTCTATTTGCACGTTCTGCCAGTTTTTTTTGCACCCCTCCAATACGTGCCAAAAGGATTCTTTTTGCTTGAAAACAGTCGAACACATCACGGTTCCAGCACTGTGCTCCGAAGATAGCTTGGATAAAGCAGGCATCAATTCACCTTCTTTATCCCACTTGTTTTCCACAAAATTCTTGAAGTTTGCAAGCGTTAACCATGCTGCTTGGAATCTAAACGGTTGATGGAGTGATTGCGTAGGAACAAACCCATTAGGAGATATAAAGATGGGGCAATGGTCAGAATGAACCACCGGAAGGTGTTTCATCTTTGCTTGATCGAACCGAAGAGCCCATTGATCATTACAAAGCGCTCTGTCTAGTCTGCCACTCCTTCGGGTTTCATTACTATTATCCCTCGACCAAGTGTGCGTCGCTTCTATAAACTCAACTTCTATCAAGTCTAATTCATCAATCCAACTGTTGAACAAAGCAGGCCTTCTCATTGTTTCCCTACAAAAGGAATTTCTTTCAGATGGAAACCTAATCTCATTGAAATCATCTGCAATGAGCCAAGGCTTATTATTGTTTTGCGCAAGTTTTCTCAACTCCTCCTACAATTTACACGCTTTGTTGGATCAGGCTTGCATAAACTGTAGTTAAGTACCACAGAGTAGCTCCATTACGATGAACATTCATGGTGATATATTATTTGTGTTTATTGATTGGGCTTATGGAGACAACCTCAGGCTTCCAATAAACCCAGATTCCGCCACTAAACCCAAC